GTGCTTCTACAGAGACGAATTCTAGGAGGAGAACATGGATGTCTGGGCTGGCGATGAGCGCACAGGCCAGGACCCCTTGGGATCCCCAGGGAAACAGGTCAGCGGTAGCATAGGGGAATACAAGATGGACGACCCTGTAAAGGAGTCCCACTCGGTACCACCAGAAACGTCCCCGGAGACAAAAATGGACAAAGATAAGCCTCCCACCTAGGATATCGGGGCTGAACACATCAATGATACTCAGTAGGGGCCCCCGATGGAGGACTTCAGGAACAAAGCAAACCCTCAAGCCCCCAAGCCTAATTGGAGAGCACAAGGTATAGTCATCCGCAACTGGAATGTGAATGGTCTAGGAAACGTCCTCAACAAAGAAAACAAATTTAATGACATAATCAAGGGTCTCAAACAGGATAATAATAAATTAGCGGACGTCATAATGCTTCAAGAAACACACTTGACGAATCATGCAGAACACTAGAAACTACAAAAAATATTTATGAGAAGGCTAGGTGGGATTAAGGATGCAGTCTGGGCCTCTGACTGCACAACAAGCAGCAAAGGCACAACCATTCTAATACCCAAAAACTCTCAGCTCTACAAAGGTGGCGTGGTAGTCAATACAGGCAAGGATGAAAACGAGGGGAGATGGTGCCTCATGGATTTGAGTTGGAAAGAGGAAACTTTCGGACTGATCAATATTTATGCCCCTAATGACAGGTGCGACAAATCCTCATTCATTCGCTCCCTAGGTCAACTGATCCCTCCTCTACAAGCCTGCATAATTGGAGGAGACTGGAACGCCACACTGGACCCGATTAACGACCGAATTTCCAGATCCGCCTCACCACAGTCCTCCCAAGAGGCAGCGCCCATCCAGGAATTAATTATGGACCACAGTCTGGCTGACCCCTTCTGTACCCTTCACCCGACAATAAGAGGTTTTTCATTAGTGAAGAAAAACCACGCTCACCACACGGCCTTCTCTCGCATCGACTTCTTTCTGGTGTCTGACCACCTCATGGGAACAGTCAAGGAAGCTGAGATTATGCCAATGGCGCCATACCCAAGCCTGGATCATAAACCAATTGAACTGATCATCAACTTCGACCAGTTCATCCAGAAAGGCCGAAGCTTCCACAAATTAAACAATTCCCCCCTACTTAGTCAAGAATTCCAAGAACGAATGGTGGAGAACTGGCAAAATCTAAGAGGAAGTTTCATCATAGGGGAGGACAGATGGCAATGGTTCCAAGATAGCTATCGGACGCTAGCTCAAATAGCAGCTAAAATATCGAGGAAAATGGCCAATGATAGAAGACGACGAAAAGTGATGCTCGAAACTGCCCTTAAAGTAGCGGAGAGCAATTTAATCACTAATCCAAAGGCTGCCGGAAATGAATGTAGGTTCTGCGCACAACATAAACTTTCCAACAGTAATCATGTTCGTTGATGATCTAACGGTCCTAATCAGAGCCTCTAATTCGTCAATGGCAGCCTTAGTTAGGGCAATGGAAGCCTTCAGATTAGCCTCAGAAATGAAGATAAACTGGGGCAAAACGATAGGTTGGTGGCTGTCTGATGAACCTGTTCCACAACTTCAAAGTCCGGAGATCTGGGTATTCAAGTTACGAAAGAAGGCCCAGCAACTCAGATGGCACAAAACCTCCTAGCCAGCCAATTCAATAAAATAGGGAAATGGAGTCAAGCGTTCACGTCAATATTGGGCAGAGCACTCGCCATTAACACGTCCATATTCTCAATGATGTGGTACATTGCCTCGATCTGGTCTATAACTGACCAGACAATCAAAGACCTGAACAGGAAAGCTCGAGCCTATTTGTGGTCACCTGAATAGAGAGAATTACATCCCAAAGATAGCTTGGCACTTTATCACAAGGAAACCATCCCTGGGCGGACTAGGTATCATAGATCCCAGACAAGAGACGAAAGCCCTCCAAATCAAGTGGGTAGTTAAGCTTCTGTCTAATCAGTCTTTGCCCTGGAACAAGCTAGCACTAGATAGTATCTGAAACCTCGCCCCGATTGAGTCTCCCCTAAATATGTCCGGGCTTTTCTGGGTGATGAACAAAGACTGGACCCCAAAAGGACAAAGAAGACAGAGGACACAAGCCCCCACCCAGTCCTCTCACCCTTACTGGGCTGCTCTTCTACAGATCTGGCGGGAGATCATGCCAGAAAAACTAGGTAAACCAAGGTCCAAAGAAGAAGTGCTCCGGCAGCCTCTCTTTGGGAATCCGTGGATTAGAGACGAAGGGGACCATCCGTGGACACTGTCCAGCGGAGGTAACAGATGGCTATCCTGGATCAAACAGGGCGTTTGGCGAGTAGGGGACGTATGGATTGATGATAAGAAAAGTTGGCTGGATGAGACTGACCTCAAGACCTGGTTGAAAGGCTGTCATCACAGGGACGAAAATCTCCAACGGATAATACAGAGCATCCCGGGACGCTGGGTAAATATTCTGAAGAAAGAGTTCACATGGAAGCCAGGCGAGTGGTGTCCTGTATCAAGAATCCTCCCCAGCTAGAGCTCACCAATTTTCCCACCGGCAGTCCACACTTGCTCCAAGGGATGTATTCATCTCCTTCCCAATTTTGAAGACCAAGCCAGATGAACTGTTCATTCAGAACATCAATCCTGAGAGAGTAGTGCTGAATGTGTTCACGCTGAGGAAGATAAGGACGTTAGGACTCTGGCCTAAACAGATCTTCCAAATAAACACAGCAGTTCAAGACCTTGAGTTCGACCCCGCAGAATGGGCATGGCGGCCAGAAAGAAACAGAACGGCCAAACCACCAACTCCAATCTATGACTACACAGTCAAGCTAGGCTACAAAATGCTGCTAAGAACGAAGGACCCAGACCCAGTGATCAAAGGAAGGTGGAATAAATTAATCGGACCAGTCGCGGACCAGTTAACAAAAATCCTGTGGAGAAAATATAAGACAATAAGACCCATAAAAATCCGGAGCATGCAGTGGCTCATCACCTACGCTGCTCTACCGGTCAACCAATGGCTGCATGTTAGGAGAAGGAAGAATGATCCAACCAGCTCCGACATTTGTGCAGTATGCTCTGATCAAGAACAGGAAGACCTAATACACCGCTTGATTAAATGCAAAGAAGCCACAGAATACTGGGCACGTGCGGCAGCCCTATGGGACACTCTCTTCTCATCTGCCCTCCCTGAACACCCCCTTCAACTCCTCCTCTGGACTAATCTACCATCTAACTTTGGCAAACCAGAGAGAATCTGGTATGGGATGCTACGCAAAGTCACACTGTGGGCCATATGGAAAGAAAGATGCAGCAGAACTTTGGAAGGCATGACGAACCCACGAGAGAAGGTTTGGTTTTCAACCAAAGGGCTTATTGAAGCGGAGATTATTGGCCAGTCGAGGAAGGTCAAACTATGTGTTCAGTACCACCCAGATCAAGAGCAGATGATTCTGTCTAAATTCAAACGTGACTGGCTGGTAGGAGAAAAGGTGGGGTGGCTGAACGGGCTGTTCTTTTTTTTTTTTTTTTTTAAACAAACAGGGCCTTATGGTCCTGGCTCCTTCTATTCTGGGGAGCGTCAGTCCGGTTCCTATTCCACCGGCAAGTCAAGTTTCACATTACATCATTGATCACTCACACACGCTTCCTTCCGTCAGGCCGAAGGACCCCTGAGCAGCATTGATTACTCCACCGCGKGAGGATTGACTGTCAGCTTGCCTTATCCTTCTCTTTCCTCTCAGACCCGGATTCCAGATCTGTCAAATAAAGCCTTTGACCCTAGAAAGAGCGCATTTGTTATCCTTACCTAGAACCTCCCCGTACACATCTTTGCCCCCCTTTGGATGGACAACCGTTTATCCTTGAGCCCTAAACCCTCAGCCTACCCTCCTAACTTCCGATCATCAAAATTAGAACCTGGCAGGAAGGATTGGCGCAATTCCGACACGCCCCCAGCTCTGCAGATTACCCAAGAACATGAAGCGGCTCCAATATGGTCATAGGGCAGTCTCCACTAGCAAGCCGTGTGAAGCTCCAGAGTCAACCTACAGGGGATATACTGACAGAGAGAGGATGGGGGACCCCTAAGGGGTCTCATTCTTCAGTTCTCGAATATGGCAGCCAGTTCCACACATACCCAGGGTGCTGGCCCTGCCGTCAGCGGGGAAAGGAGGTGCTCCAAGACATTCGAGGGTTCAGAGTCGATAAGGAAAGGAACAGGGACCCTGTGGCGCAAGATGGTAGGAACAGAAAGGCGATGCAAAGGAGGGAGGTGATGACAACAAAACTGAGACTATAGTCTCAGGAACTCTCCCAGTTTTCTCGTTTCATTGAGTCATATTTGACAGACCCAGAATGAGGTCTGAGAGGAAAACCAGGGTAGGGCAAGCTGACAGTCAATCCTCGAAAAGGAGCAATCAATGCTGTTCAGGGGTCCTTCGGCCAGATGGAAGGAAGTGTGAGAGTGCTCACCATGTATTTCAATACTTGACTTGCCGGTGGAAACGAACCGGACTGACGCTCCCCAGAATGGAAATGGAGCCAGGACCATAAGGGCCTGTTTTGATTGAAAAAAAAAAAAAAAAAAGGGGCCTGCTTGGGCCCACCTCGCTTTTCTTCATTTCCTCCTACCACACCCTCTCCCCGACACTTCGTTTTCACCTTTTGAGTATACGGCCGCGAGTTTTGAGGAAGGGGGTGGGACTGGTGTTAAAAAAAAGAAGGAAAAAAAAAAGAATCCTGAGAGGTGCTTTCCCAAACAAAACCATGCATGCAAATACTTTAATCTGTGTGTTCCACAAAAAGAATATAGAAAATTACTAGAAATTTAGTAGAAAATTAGAAATGCAGCGAATCAAATATTGCCAAGGACCAACAGTCACCACGACAAGCACATCCCACGTTAAAATGGTCCAAATTTCCCCAGCAATATGCAACTGCAAAATTGGCAGCAAATGTGGTTAGGACAGTGGAAACTCACTCCCTGTGAAATTGCTTGACAAAAGCCTTCAGATAGTCTCCATTGTCAGATGGGTCCAGTGGTCCAACCATGATCGCTGTGTCTGTCCCCTGTGAAATTACATGTCATCCAAAATTATCATGACACACTAAACAAAACAAACAGCAAAAAAAAAAAAAAAAAAAAAAACCAACAACAACAGCAATAATACTGCAATATCGCATTTGGCTCATTGGCTAGCAAACCACAGACATTTCATTTGGGAAAGTCTACAATTTCCGTATACCCATAAAGCGAAAACCGGTCCTCGTGTGACACGTTTCGCAGGCCCAAGAGAGCCACCGGGGGGCTGGAACCGGCCATTTCAGGCCAGGACCCAGGATTCTTTTTTTTTGGTTGGATTTGGACAGCAGGTGTCGCCGTTGACGCCGGGAACGTTCGAATACAAGTACATAGGGTACGTAGATTCATTCTCCAAGAGGGCCGAAGGCCATTGTGCGTTCGTGTGCCGTGAATTTGAGTTGTGCTCTCTATTTGTGTGTGCCTGTATCTTCCCATGTCTTAGCGGAGGATTCATTCTCATTTAGTGGGAGGGAGGGACGACAAGCGGGAGGAACAGGGGAAGGAGGATGAGGGGGAGGACGGCCCTCTATTCATGCGCACCTTAAACCGCCAATACACAGCCCCAGCCTTGCTGAAAATGCAACTCGTCGCCTACAAAATTTTCGGAGGCTCAGCCTACCGGACCACAATGGCTGGCGGCGCATGAGGACCTCTGGCAGTTCGGAAAAGCTTGTCTTGCAGTGAGACCCCTCCAGGCCCATGTGTACTGGTGGTTTAATGGGAGAAGGAGTGTGGCAAGGAGGAGAGGGAGGGCGGGATGAGCAGGGAAAGGACGAGGAGGGGAGGAGCAAGGAAAGGAGAAGAAGAGGGGGGACAAGTGCCACAAGCAGGAGGAGGAGAAGGGGGGGGAGGACCACAAGTGGTTAACGGGAACCCCCACTTTCAGCTCATGACTAACGGGTCCAAAACTGAAATTCAGGTTTGGGGGTCAAATTTAAGTCCACTTTAGCCTTGCTGTTTTATAAGTTATTAAAAAAAAAAAACATCGGTTTTTTTTGGCAGCTAGTATCTCCACTCTCTGAATTGGTGGCAAGTTTGGTTAAAACGACCCTTGGGTTTTGTTATAAATGGCATGACAAGTTGTCTGAAATTTACGGCCTCCGTTAACCTGCTCTCGGTGAGGAGGGGGAAGGCATGATGACAAGCGGGAGGAGCAGAGAAAGGAGGAGGGGCGGGAGGATGACTCTCTATTTGTCCGCACCTGAACAGGTGTAGCGCCAAAAGGAGTGGGAGGGCAGGATGACAAGTGGAAGGAGCAGGGAAAGGAGGAGGAGGGGGAGGACGGCTCTCCATTGGTGCACGCCGGTATCTTTCCATTTCCTACTGGAAAATTCATCCTCATTTTGAATCTTTGGTGCGTAGTCGTGTTATGATTCTGGTTGTTCGTTGCCTGAAATCCAACACTCACTCACATAAACTTCTGCACATGCCCATACACACACAGAAGGAAGGGGAGAGGATAGGAGTATCACACCACACAGGGAGAGATAAACACAGCGGAAGACTTGACCATGCGGTATGACAGGGTACACTGAAAGTGCAATACACTCCACTCAATCCTCACAACCAGTCATAGAGAAAAGCCGAGCAGATCACATCCAGGAACCAATGAAACGATGATAGTCCAAACACAGTTATACACTGTTTATTAAACTCAGTCTCGAAATGTCAGGATCACTTCAGAACTACAGTGCGCTGCTCAGAATTGAGCAGCGCTTCACTCTCCAAGCCTGATAGACACCTGTAACACCCCCTGAGTCCTGAAACATCAAGCGCCACCCAAATACAGCCTCCTGGGGGCAGCGCCACCCTGAAACAGGCCTCTGAGGCCAAGCGCCACTCAAAGGATGAAGAAGAAGACCAGCGCCACAGTATGTGGTGATGACGAAGTGTCGAGAGGCTTCCCGGGTGGAAGCCTGCAGCATCGCCACCGAATCCTGACTAGATGACCTCTGAGATGAAGAAGCTGCAGCTATGGCTGCAGCGCAAACCCTCTGGGACCCCACTCCGGAGGAGGGTCCAGCAGGGCACCAATCTCTCTC